TTTTGTGGTGTTGTGCTTGTCATTGCGTGTTTGTGATTGTGGCTGTAGTTGTGTGTTTGTGATTGTGTGTTTGTGGTTGTGTGCTGTGATTGTGTTGCGGTTGTGTGTTTGTGGTTGTGTGTTGTGGTTGTGTTTGTAGTTCCGTTTGTGATTGTGTTTGTGGTTGTGCTTGTGGTTGCGTCTTTGTCGTTGTGGCTGTGGTTATGTTTGTGGTTCTGTGCTTGTCATACGTGTGATTACGGTTGTGTGTTGCGGTCGTGTTTGCGGTTGTCTTTGTGATTTTGTTTTTCCCCAAACAGTTTACTGTTAGGGGTTCTCAATTCTTTCTTAAGATGTGTCCGCCCTTTTCGTCACTGCATTTCATTTGTCTCACAGGTCTGTCACTGCTGGTGTCCGCCCTTTTCCGCTGGCCATGTAGCATTTCTATTCATTTGTCTCCCAGGTCTGTCGCTGCGGGCGTCCGCCCTTTTCCGCTGGCCATGTAGCATTTCTATTCATTTGTCTCCCAGGTCTGTCGCTGCTGGTGTCCGCCCTTTTCCGCTGGCCATGTAGCATTTCTATTCATTTGTTTGCCATGCAACATTTCTATTCATTTGTCTCCCAGGTGTGGTGTCCGCCCTTTTCCGCTGGCCATGTAGCATTTCTATTCATTTGTTTGCCATGCAACATTTCTATTCATTTGTCTCCCAGGTCTGTCACTGGTGGTGTCCGCCCTTTTCCGCTGGCCATCTCGCATTTCTATTCATTTGTCTCCCAGGTCTGTCAATGCTCGTGTCCGCCCTTTTCCGCTGGCCATGTAGCGTTTCTATTCATTTGAATCGCAGGTCTGTCACTGCTGGTGTCCGCCCTTTTCCGCTGGCCATGTAGCATTTCTATTCATTTGAATCGCAGGTCTGTCACTGCTGGTGTCCGCCCTTTTCCGCTGGCCATGTAGCATTTCTATGCATTTGTTTTTCGAGGTCTGTAGCTGCTGGTGTCCGCTGTCATTGGTGGTGTCCGGCCTTTGCCATGTAGCATTTCTATTCATTCGTCTCCCAGGTCTGTCACTGCTGGTGTCCACCCTTTTCCGCTGGCCCATGTAGCATTTCTTGTCATTTGTCTCCGAGGTGTGTCACTGCTGGTGTCCGCCCTTTTCCGCTGGCGATACAACATTTCTATTCATTCCCCAATCAGTTTGCCGTTACGTAGGGTTTGTCACTTCTTTCTTAAGATGTGTCCGCCCTTTCTGTCACTGCTGGTGTCCGCCCATTTCCGCTGGCGATGCAGCAATGCAGCGTTTCAATTCGTTTGTCTTTAAAGTGATTTCTTTACTTTTGTTTTCCAGGTTGAGTGCCTGCACTGCTGGCATCCGCCCTTTTCACCTTTCCAGCATTTCTATTCATTTGTCTCCCAGGTGATTTCTGTACTTCCCCAAACAGGTTACTGTTGGGGGTTCTAAACGCTTTCTAAAAGTGTCCGCCTTGCTGCCGGACAGCGTGTCCGCCTTGTCTCTCTTGTTGGTCACTGTGTCCGCCTTGTCTCCCTTCTGTTTCCTTTTGTCTCCCTTCTTGTCTCCCTTCTTGTTGGTCACTTGTCTCCTCTCCCTTCTGTTTCCTTTTGTTTCCCTTCTTGTTGGCGCCTTGTCTCCCTTCTGCCTCCCTTTGTCTCCCGTCTTGTCTCTTTTCTTGCTGGGCACTGTGTCCGTCTTGTCTCCCTTCTGTTTCCTTTTGCCTCCCTTCTTGTCTCCCTTGTTGTCCCCCTTCTTGTTCGTCGTTGTGTCCGCCTTGTCTTCCTTCTTTCTTCTCTCCCCCTCTCGCTTGCAACCCTTCAATCGTTTACATTTGTCTCCCAGCGCTGGGCTGCTGTGTCCGCCTCTGCCTTGCAATCCTTTACACGTGTCCTCGCAAGCTTTTGCATTTGTCTGCCAGCTCTAGACTGCTGTATCCGCCTCTGCCTTGCAATCCTTTATTATTATTTGTCACCCAGCTCTGGGCTGCATGTCGCTTGCAATCCTTTACATTTGTCTCCCTGTGTCTACATTTGTCTCCCAGCTCTGGACTCTGCCTTGCAGTCCTTTGTCTCCCAGCTCTGGACGTCGCAAGCTCTAGTTGCAGAGTGTTCCGATTTTGAAAAACACAAGCTGTTTGGGGTCTACGGTGGTATAATTGGTTGTGTGTTGTGGTTGTGTTTGTGATTGTGTTTGCGATTGTGTGTTTGTGATGGTGTGTTTGTGGTTGCGTTTGTGATTGGGTTTGTGGTTGTGTGTTTGTGGTTGTGTGTTTGTGGTTGTATGTTTTGTGGTTGTGTGTTTGTGGTTGTGCGTTTGTGATTGTGGGTCTGTGGTTGTGCTTGTGGCTGCGTTTGTTATTGTGTTTGTGGTTGTGTGTTTGTGATTGTGGTTGTGGTTGTGTGCTGTGGTTGAGGTCCGGCAGGGAACACTGGGCGTGGATGGTTGCGGTTGAGGTCCGGCGGAGGAGGCGGAGCGGAGGACGAGGAGTCTAACAACCCTCACCTGACAGGTGGGGAAAAAACAAAAAGTTCAGACCCATGGAGGGGGGCCCAGCAGAGGCTGGACAGGAGACATAGGTCTGAACTTTTTGTTTTTTTTTGTGTTTTGGTTTTGGTGCACTTTTTGGCAAACCAACCAAAACCAAAAACATCAGACCCATGGAGAGGGACCCAGGAGAGGAGAGGCTGGACAGGAAACATGGGTCTGAACATTTTGTTTTCTTGTTTTTCGCCAAACAGTTGACTGTTAGGGGTTCTCAACTCTTTCTTAAGATGTGTCCGCCCTTTGTGTCACTGCTGGTGTCCGCCCTTTTCCGCTGGCCATGTAGAAACGCTATTCATTTGTCGCTGCTGGTGTCCGCCCTTTTCCATTGGCCATGTAGCACTTCTGTTCATTTGTCTCCCAGGTCTGTCGCTGCTGGTGTCCGCCCTTCTTTTCCGCTTCGCTTGTCTCCCAGGTCTGTCACTGCTAGTAGTGTCCGCCCTTTTCCGCTGGCCATATTTGTCCCAGGTCTGTCACTGGTGGTGTCCGCCCTGTTCCGCTGGCCACGTAGCATTTCTTTTTTTGTTTCCCAGGTCTGGCACTGTAGCGTTCTATTCATTTGTCTCCCAGGTCTGTCGCTGCTGGTGTCCGCCCTTTTCACTTGGCCATGTAGCATTTCTCCCAGGTATGTCACTGCTGGTGTCCGCCCTTTTCCGCTGGCGATGCAACATTTCTATTCATTTGCCTCGCAGGTCTATCACTGGTGGTCTCCGCCCTTTTCCGCTGGCCATGTAGTCCCTGCTTGTGTCCGCCCTTTTCCGCTGGCCATGTAGCATCTCGGTTCATTTGTCCCCCAGGGCTGTCACTGGGCCATGCATTTCTATTCATTTGTCTCCCTGGTCTGTCGCTGCTGGTGTCCGCGCTTTTCCGTTCGCCATGTAGCATTTCTACTCATGTGTCTCCCAGGTCTGTCACTGCTAGTCCGCCCTTTCCCGCTGGCCATGCATTTCTATTCATTTGTCTGCCAGGTCTGTCCATGTAGCGTTTCTATTCATTTGTCTCGCAGGTCTGTCACTGCTGGTGTCCGCCCTTTTTGGCCATGCAGCATTTCTATGCATTTGTCTCCCAGGCCCTCTTCCCTTAACTATGCAGCATTTGGACTTAGCTGGTGTCCGCCCTTGTCCGTTGGCCACGCAGCATTTCTATGGATTTGTCTCCCAGGTCTGTCGCTGCTGGTGTCCGCCCTTTTCCGTTGGCC